AAGGCCCGAATTCATCACCGCAGAATGAAGAACCACCTCCGATTACAGCAATTAGCACGTGATATTTCATGCCATGCACACTCCTCTTTTCTCCCATATCTCAAGGACAGCCTGCCTGGTTTGCATTTTTAAAACAGGCGACTTTCCAGCACCGAATAGAGGGGAGCGCGGTTGGGAGGGTAGTTGGAATCCAAGTAAAAACTAGAACCTCTCGCAATGGCCGAGTTTTAGCCAATCCCGGTGGTATCATCCTTTAGTTTGGGTGTTTGTCGGGCTTCATTTGCGTAGCGCTTCTCACTTGCAAAGTGTTGGGTCTCCCTGCACACGAGGGCCCGGTGAGGTAGCCACGAATTCTGTTCTGGAGGCGGGGAAGCGCACAGGAACGGGAATGAGGAGCGTAGCGCTTCGGCTCAGCGCCCCGGTTTCTGCATCGTATCCATGAAGGGGAATAAAAATTGGAAGTCTTACCTGGGAGTGAGTCACGTTGAACTCGGGGGAGTGGGGGGCGGGGACGACCTTCTGAACAAACGTGCAAAGCATCGGCCTCGTGGCTAGTGTTTAGAGTAACCCCTGCGCTTGGTTGCACAGATCTGTCCCTCTGAGTTCACCAGGCCTTGCTCACAGTAACTGTGAGCAAGTTAACTTCATTTCTCTGCAATGGGGTCCTCTTGTTCTGTTCTACACAAAATTGTGGATTATTTCCTTTTGCTGGTTGTTTTCCCGATTGGACCGCTTATAAGTGTCAAATCCTGCAAACCTAAGTGCTTGCGGGAAAGGCGGATCAGAATGTGACAATCTGAGCTGATGTGTTACATTTGAAGGGGGTGGAGAGGAACGAGCGTACTTGCACACCTGCCCATACAGTCTCCTATATTTGCTTGTCGCCTTGCGCGCAGTGCGGAGCCTCTTGCGCGGGCTCCTCCGGTACCGGGCTGTGGCTGCGTGCGCGGGCTCCTCCGGTACCGGGCTGTGGTTGCGCCCCTAAGTCTTCAGACACTGTCCGGCATAATGACGTCTCTGGGCGTACACACACACACGCACACACACGCACACACACCCCGCCCTTGCTTTCCTCTGGCTTGCCTTGAGAGTCTGCGCGCCTTGTAGGAAGCCCTCCGGATGTTTGCTGCTTTTCATGTGGCATTTGTGGCTGCCTCTGATAACGCCGGAGGGAGACCCACACCGCCAGCCAGCCCGGCAGCCAACGCCACGCTTAGAAAGGGGATTGTAAACGAAAGGCGTCTCCTGCCCAAGGCTTTCCCTTCTCCACCCCACCCCTCCGCGAGTTGAAAAAGTCACTGGCTCTGAAACGTGAGCCCTCTTTGCTAGTACCGTGGGAAGGAAGAGTCCCCCAAATAAATCGGGGAGGGTAGAGGGCAGATCTGGGAAGTGCAGGGGACACGGTGGGGTTGCGATCAGGATGCCAAACCTAGCGCCCTCTAATCCCATTGGCATCTCTGGGAACCCTAAAACTTGCGAGTTGAAAAAGACCTCTCAGTCTCTGCGCTGAAGCTTTTTAAGAGACCGAGGCTTAACACGAGGCAAATAAGCAAGGAGAGTCTGGTGGGATTTAAAGGTGATCTAAAACGCCGCAGGGCGAAACCTTCCCGGACTACAGGAAGATCGAACTAGTGGGTGGATAGGACTAGCCAGGCGAAGTCGTGACCAAGCAAGGAAGCCCCGGCCCCCGTTTGGTCCACGAGGGAGATCCGTGGGACTAGAAGCAAGTTGACAGGGGACACGCCTAGCGAGGGTCTTCCAAAGGGTTGCTGAGCTTCTGTCCCTGCTCCTTATCATGTGCGCCCCGGGGACTAAAAGCATCAACATCCCGCAGGGGCGGCTCCTGACCGCGTTTGGGCAGAGGCGTTCCTTCTGCAGTGTGTGCTCCGAATCGGTCCAGTTCAGGATTTAGGGTGCCCCTCTCGGGGGAAACGACCTCGAGAGTTTTGCAGACACACAATAGCCGCTTCGCCCTGTGTGGAATTGCCCACAAAAAGTGTTTGCTCCACTTTTCCCCATCCCAGATCAAAGATCTTAGCAAACACAACATCTTGCAAACACAGAGGATAAATTGGGCTAATAATATTGATAAATAACAGTAACGCAGTATTTAAGACTTAACACATCCAAAGAAACCGTTACATATGCTAGCTCTGGAGTCATTAAGTCTGAAACATAAATATGCCAGAAAAGTCGTTATTATCGCTCTGGTCCTTAAGCAGTTCATTGTATTTCCGTTGTTTCTCGAGAATATTTCACTGCCTTACTTCTAAAAGTTCAGCAACTTGCTTGTATATTTTGTCCTGTTTTTTTTTTTTTTAATGAACTAAATGTCGAACGCTCTGAAGGGTGACTTGGCTTGTTGCGATTCCGTGGCTTTTTGTTCCTTTTTGGAAACAATATGCAGAGCCACCCAACAACACGTGCTGAGCGGGCGGAAAGTTCGGTTCCCGGCATCCCGAAAGAGGGGGCCAAAAGGCAGGGGAAAAAACCGTCCTGCCCTCTAACCCGGAGGACTTGCTGCCGTCGGCAAGGCTGTCCTGCGCCGCTTCACGGCCCGAGGGCGGTATAACGCCTGTGCCCCGCGTCCCGGGCGCTCAGCTGCTATTACTAAGCGCGGGGCGGCGGCGGCGGCGGCGCTAATCGGCACGGGTCGCCTCCCCGCTTCTCTCCCTAAGAGAAGGTTGAATCAGTGAGCCCATCGTCCACCCCCGACCCCAGCTAAATTCAGGAAGGTAGCGCGACACATGGATTTATTTAAATAGAGACAGGCTGGACGGCCCGATCCGCAAGGCACGTAAATGCAGAGCGCGGCCCTTCGAATTGTTCCTCCCCATCCCGGGGATTTCCAAAGCACTAGGAGTAGTCTGGAATCCTCGGCAATCCAGCTTCAGCGGCTTGTGGATCGCAGCCACGCCGCAGAGGCGGCGGCGGCGGCGGGGCGGAGAGAGAGAGAGAGAGACGGGGAAGGCTTGCTTGGCTCGTAAACGTGCACACCAGACTGCGAAGCAATCTGTTTCCTCCGGAGCTGCTTCTGTAACATCTGCCCGGGGGTCAGAGATACTTTCCAAAGATAGCACTCCGTCGCTCTGTGCTTTCCTGCGCTTGAGCCTGCGTGTCCATTATCAAGCGGAATTAAGTATTTTGACGGGGAATCCCAGCGAGGTTTTCTAAACACTGACTAACCCGAGGAAAGAGAAAGCCGGAGGGCAGGCAAGGCGAGCAAGAGAGGCCTTCCTCTGGACCATCGCAATTTCATATTATTATAATTATTTAAAAATACCAGCCTCTGTGCTTTCCTGCGCTTGAGCCTGCGTGTCCATTATCAAGCGGAATTAAGTATTTTGACGGGGAATCCCAGCGAGGTTTTCTAAACACTGACTAACCCGAGGAAAGAGAAAGCCGGAGGGCAGGCAAGGCGAGCAAGAGAGGCCTTCCTCTGGACCATCGCAACTTCATATTATTATAATTATTTTAAAATACCAGCCACAAATCAATCAAAATTTTAAAAACATTGACTGGTATTATTATTAATGCGGTAGCTGACAAATGGCAAATGTACTTTTAAAAATTATCTGAATATCCGAAGGGTCTCAACATCTTCCTCACTGTACAGTATCTCGGAAAGTTCTTCCAGCATAAAAACCCTTCAGACGCCTATGTCTTCCACTTGAAATATCAGTCCGAGGATCGCAACCCCAAAGTGCTAGGAATATTAATTCTATACCGCTTTTTTTCATAGAAGTAACAGTGAAGGTTTCCACAGATTCAGGACAAAAGAAAGAGAAATAACAGTAGAAAACATAATTTGCAGAATAGATTTAGGCTAGTTAAGTCCGATTAGTGTGGAACCTGTTTCCAACATAGCAGGACTTAGGGCCCAAGTATAAGATCAAACTAAACCTTTATATTAGAAACACAGCGAATGTTGCTTAGACATAAATAATAATAGATCTAATAGTTTCATCACATAATAATGTAAATAATAACCCACAGCTAATTTGAAATACTGAAAACTCTTGGAAACAAGCTTTCACTTGAGTGAATGCCACCTATTTCACATTATTTAAGTGGCCTGTATTGGCATTAACCTACAATATTGCTGTGTTTAGCAATACTTATTTTGTGAAACAAGTTAAATATGTGGCCCCCACTCTTTTTACCCAAAGCTATTTACTTTGTATATTAATACAAATTGCTGGAACAGGATCTTACCCGTAAAATCAAAAACCAAATCCAAGACTTGTTTCTCCTGAAAGTGAATTCCTGCTGTTAAATTGATAGGAACTAATTTGATCAAATGCAATTACATTAAATTGTTTATAAACCGAAACATTACCATTAGACAAACAAGTCATCGAAAAACAATATCAATTTTCTGTAACAGATACTTATTATGTTAGGCAGAAATAGGAATTTTAATTATCCTTCTGCAATCCTTGTGTGCGTGTGTTAAAATGACCTATGAAATACGGCAGGCCATCGTAGGTGAGTGAAAGAAACGTTTAAAAATTAATAGATTTTGTTTCTTACGTCTGCTTTACCGTGATATTTCCACTCTAGGAAACACATCCGACAGGAAACAGACAAAATCGGTCAAAGGTGTTTTATCCCTCCCTCTCTCCCACCCTGTGTCCCTAAAACAAACTAATTAAACCGAGCGTTTCCTTTCGTACGATTCGCAATTCCTTCTCGCTTCTGTCAACTATACAGCACAGCAAGCCGTCTTCGCCTGCCTTTCTTACTTGAAAGTAGATCCCATTGATCTCAATGGAATTCACTTCCACGTAGTCGCTTTCGCTCAAGTCATGGAAAAATCCACTCCCGGCTGCAAAGGTTACTCCCGGGTTGGCCGACTCCCATACAGGTGAATTGCAGATGAAACTGGTCCTTTCCTCGCCCGCGGTGACTCTGCCCCGCCCCGCCCACCCCGCCCGATTGGCCATTGCCCGGTTTAAACGCAGCCGCGCGGTGACATCGGACCGCTGTTTCCAGAGATCGCTCCATGCGATGCCCACGCCGGCAGCTTTCGCCAACAGCTTCTCCAAAGCTTGAAGTCCTCGTAACGAGGAGCAGAGGCAAAGCGAGGAATACGTGCGGCAACAAGTTCAACTCCATCTCCCCCTCCGCCCCCGCCCCCGCCCCAAGACTCACCTTCCTGGGAGCGCCGGGAAAGGGGTCGAGCCGGTGAAGCAGCGTGGCAATGAGCAGCCCCGATGCGGGCTACGCCAGTAGCGACGATCAGGCGCAAGGACGGTGCTCGCTCCCTTCCCTCATGATGCAGTGCCAGTGGGCAGAGTCGCTGAGCCCCCTGGCCGAAACCAAGGGCAAGGGAGAGGCGGCGGGCGACCCGGTGCATCCAGGAGCTCCCGGCCGGGCCAAAGGGGAAGCGCGCATTCGCCGCCCAATGAACGCATTCATGGTCTGGGCTAAAGATGAGCGCAAGCGCTTGGCGCAGCAGAACCCCGATCTGCACAACGCCGAGCTCAGCAAGATGTTGGGTGAGTACTAAGTCCAGGGGGCTCTGGCAAGGAACGAGGGTCGCATTCTAGCCATATGGGGTGTTCGCATTGTAAGGATTCCGCGCACTACAATAAAGTATCCCGGGATAGCAGTTAAAGAAAACCAAGGCGTAGTGAGGAACGATGTGGTTGGTGGTGGTTGTTTTTAACCAGGCAGGATTTCTTTGGGTTGTGTACAGTTCAATCCTATGCACGTTTAGTCGGAAGTAAAGCTCCCTAAATTGAGGGCTGCTTCATCTTTTCCAATAAGCATGCACAGGATTGCAGTGAGATGCTTCTGGCGACGTGATTCTGCAGGGGTGCCCCTCCTTCTCGTGGGAGCTGGCCGGGAGACGTGAATGAACCTAAGGCTTAGAGAGGTAGCTCACAGAACAGGAAGAGGAATGGCATTCGTATTTTCCCGAAGATACACAGTCCTGCTGGCTGGTATCTACATTCACCCCTAAGTGATAACAAAGCTCCACGGATTGGGAACAGATTTAGGGTTCGAAAGGAGGAATTTAGGGTTGGTTAAAACGGGGCAAGGGGTCTCAGGAAGGCTTTGAGACCTCAGATCTGGGAGGCTTCGCGTAGCGCAGACCGATCTTGCATTCAGACGGTTCCCATCTCCTGAGAGACCGCTCGTTCCTAAACGCGGTGTTTTTAAAAAGCAACGAAAACCTTTCTTTACCGCCCGGCAACGCCCTTCGGTTCTTAAGAATACACCTTAGAGTTTGGTGGCAACTTAAAAATCCGGCAAGCTTTTTCTTGAACTCTAGCCACAAAACGGATGTGGGCCGTATAAATGTTTTAATAGAAAACTATTAAGAGCAGAAGGTGCCACAAGACCTGGCTGTTTTTTCATGCATCTTCCGTCAGTTCGTGAGGTGTCATTGCTAAACCACGTACCTCACAGCTACTGTGTCTTGGGGACAGCATTCATGGCCACTCATCATCATCATCATATTGCCCTTCTTATTTCTCTGCATTGCTCCTGCTTTAAAAGGTTCCCCTTGACACTTAAGTCCACTACGAAATAATCCCTAAAAATTTGTGGCCAAGTTACATGCTTGCAAAAATCCGTTTCCAGATGACTTTTTATTGTAGTTTAAAGGTCTGCGACGGTCCTCTGGAAAACGCTCGTGGTCGAACAAACATTTTCCAAGCATCATCCTCATCCTCAAACCCCCTGTCACCGCACGACAGGAAACCTCCATTGTTTTCAGAGTGGGGCTCAAGTCTAGCAAAGGCTTTAGTTGACGTGACCTGGGTGGGCGCGGGGAGAGTCCGCGGAGGCCCCCCCGCTCCCTCCCCCTTCTAACAGCCCCCTTCTTCCTCTTCCTCCCCCTGACAGGCCAGTCGTGGCGGGCGCTGACCCAGGAGGAGAAGCGTCCCTTCGTGGAAGAGGCCGAGCGCCTCCGGCTCCAGCACATGCGGGACCATCCGCACTATAAGTACCGGCCCAGGCGCAGGAAGCAGGTGAAGCGCCTGAAGCGGGGCGACGGCGCGCCCGACGGCGGGAACGCTTTCCTCTCCCTCCACTCCCCCTGACAGGCCAGTCGTGGCGGGCGCTGACCCAGGAGGAGAAGCGTCCCTTCGTGGAAGAGGCCGAGCGCCTCCGGCTCCAGCACATGCGGGACCATCCGCACTATAAGTACCGGCCCAGGCGCAGGAAGCAGGTGAAGCGCCTGAAGCGGGGCGACGGCGCGCCCGACGGCGGGAACGCTTTCCTCTCCCTCCAACAGCCGCCCCACCACCACCACCATCATCCCCACCACCACCCTCAGCAGCTGGGACTGCCCTTAGAGGCCGGGACGGGAGGTGGCTGCGAGGGACTCGGCCTCCCCTACCCCGAGCAGCCCAGCTACGCGGGCGGGAACTTCCACTACCGGGACTGCGGACCCCTGCCGCTGCCCACTTTGGGGT